GCTTCGTATTCTGCGGCGTTGTTGGTCTTGATGTCCTTAAACCGTAGAGAGATTTCATGGATGACTCCGTCGGGCGACTCTATGACTATCCCTGCCCCCGAGGCGGTTTTTCCTGCTGCTCCGTCAACGTGCAGGTGCCAGATTTGGTTGCGCTCTTCGGAGGGGGGGGGGGAGATGATAGAGAAGCCTTCGGCGATGAAATCGGCCAGGACTTGGCCCTTGATGGCTGGTCTTGGAGCATATTCAATGTCATACTCGCTGAGCTCGACCGCCCATTTTGTTAGTCTTCCTGATGCGTCCATGCCCCGCATGACGCTTTTAAGAGGCAGATTGGTTAACACCGTGATGGGGTGTCCTTGGAAGTACGGTCTCAACTTTCTAGCTGCTGAGGCAATGGCGAGAACCGCCTTTTCGACCGGCATGTATCTTGTCTCGGCGGGCAGAAGCGCTTTGCTCACGTAGTAGACGGGCTGGTCAGAGCCATCTTGCGCTTTTCGTACTAAGGCGGAGCTCACGGCCTGTTCCGACACCGCGAGGTAGAGATAAAGCCGCTCGCCATTTACAGGGGCGCTTAAGATTGGAGGTGAGCTGAGCTGGTTTGTCAGTAGAGCGAAAGCTTTGTCACATTCAGCGCCCCATTGAAGTTTTGAGGCTGACTTCTTCAGCATTTGGAAGAAGGGGGAACACTTGTCTGCAGACCGCGGAATGAATCTTCCCAATGCGGCCATCTTGCCGTTGAAGGCTTGGATTTCCTTGATTGTCTTTGGCGGCTTCAGGTTGCGGATAGCCTCGATCTGTTTCGGGTTGGCTTCTATTCCTCGCTTCGTGATCATGAAGCCAAGGAATTTTCCCGCTTCGGCCCCGAAGACGCATTTGAGTGGATTGAGCCTCAGATTCTTCTGTCTCATGGTCTCGAAGGTTTCCCGTAGGTCGCTGGCTTTCTTGCTCTTGACGAGCACGTCATCAACATAAGCCTCCACGTTCCTTCCCATTTGATCTCTGAAGACCGCATCCACCATTCGTTGATAGGTCGCCCCTGCGTTCTTGAGTCCGAAGGGCATGACCACGTAGCAGAAGTTGCCCATCGGGGTTATGAAGGCAGTTGCTTCTTGGTCGCCCTCCGCCATCTTGATTTGGTGGTACCCCGAAAACATGTCAAGAAAGCTGAGCGCTCCATGGTTGGCGGTTCCATCGATCAGCTGATCAATTCGGGGGAGGGGATATGCATCCTTAGGGCAAGCCGCATTGAGGCTGGTGAAGTCGATACACATTCTCCAGGTGCCCCCTGCCTTGCGTACGAAGACTGGGTTTGAAAGCCAAGTGGGATACTTTACTTCACGGATGAACCCCGCTTTGAGCAGTCTCCGAACTTCTTCTTCGAGAGCCATTTGTTTCTCAACGGATAGGTGTCTTCTCCGTTGCTGTATAGGCCGTGCTTTGCTTTTGACGGAGAGATGATGCTCAGAGACTTTTCGGGGGACGCCGGGCATGTCTTTCGGTCCCCAGGCGAATAGGTCTTGGTACTCTCGGAGGAGCGTCAATAGCTTCCGGGCCTCCTCCGTGGCCAAATGCGCGGAGATGCGGACGGTCTTGTCTGGTTGATCCTCGTTTAGTGGAACCGCTATATCTCCTTCCACGGCTTCAGGTCGGGGAGCGTCGTCTCTGGCGTCGACGAGGTCGACTTCCAGGCGTTCAATGGTCGCCTGATAACACTCCTTTGCCTCCTTCACGTTGCCCCGGACGCGTCCTGTCTGCCCTCCACTTGGAAATTTCAGCATTTGATGGCATGTGGAAGCAACCGCCTCGAACGAGGCCAGGAAACCGCGTCCCAGGATGGCATTGTAAGCTGAAGGACAATCCGCCACGTGGAACTCCACCTGCTTGGTTTTGGTGATCCCTCCTTCGCCTATGGTGACCTTGAGTGTGATTGATCCAAGGACACGTACCTTCGTCCCCGAAAACCCTACTAAGCTGGTGTTGGAGGGGTTGAGGTCTTGGATATTCTTCTTCATGCCCCGGAGCGCCGAGTAGAAGAGGATATCGGCGGAGCTCCCATTGTCAACGAGAGCTCTTGTGACTTTGAACTTGTCGGTTCGGAACGAGATGACTAAGGGGTCTTCTGAGTTCTCCTCCTTGGCTAGCTCTGAAGGTAGGAAGGTGACGTCCGACGGTACCTGGCGTTGGACGCTTAAGCAGTGGCTTAGGCGGTCGGCCTCCGTTCTGGGCCGCTTCCTACCTCCTGCGATCGTAATGATCTCCATGCCATCGTCATCTCCCCTTGGGGGTCGATATGCGGGAGACTGCCTCTGCGGCGAGGCGTTCTTGTTCCTCGTGGGCGATCTGGACCTCTCTTTACGAGCTCTTCTTGGTTTGTCCGCCTCCGGGCTGAGGGAGTCTTCCCTTCCCTCTTGAGAGCCGCCCCGCTGACTTCGTCGTGTTTCGAGGCGGTTACGCAGATCCCCAGGAGCTAAGTACTTCAAGCTGGCTTTGAACTCCCGGCACTCCGTTGTGTCATGAGTCGTCATTTGATGCCAGTCGCACCACTTCTTTCCTTCTTGTGGCTCTTGACCGGAGGATGCTTCCGGTTTTCTCCCGCTCCTTCGTCTTTCTCTTCCTATTTCTCGTTCGGTGGAGTAGACTTCTCTTTTACCGTCGCGGTCTGCGTACCGGTTTCGATAAGATTTCCGCTCAGGAGACCGCCTTCCCCGTCGAGCGTCCGACCGCTCTTGTGGGTCGCCTCGGGATCGCCCTTGATGGCTTCTGTCGTCAGTGGCGAGAGCTTCTTCAAGTAAGATGGCTCTTCTTACCAATTGATCTAAGTCTGACCATGACGTTAACATGGCCTCCTTTTTTATCAACGTTCTTTTGAGCTCGATGCTGGTCGTTGATATCCTGAGGTTTCCGGCGGCTACGACCGAAGAGATCCCGTCGATTTCGCAAGCGATCGCATTCCATCGATCGTAGAACTCCGCAAGCGGTTCCTCTTTCTTCTGTCTGCAATTCATGAGTGCTGAGACCGTGAGTTTGCGGGCCGTTGGGACGCGAACTTTGTGGAGAAAAGCATCGCGAATTGTTCGAAGTTTTCTATCACCCCTTCCGGGAGGGAAGTATACCACGTCCGGCATTGACCGCTGAAGGTGACGGGAAACGCGCGGCACAAATCAGAGTCTGTGGCGTTGATGAGTTGCATCTTCAACATGAAAGCGCAAAGGTGGTCGGCGGGATCTGAGGTCCCGTTGTACGAGGGTAGCCCAAGAGAGGAGAAATTGGGCGGTACTGGGGTTTTGAACAGCTCCTTAGAGAGCGGATTTTGGAGGACATTGGGGCTTTTGTGTTTCCCGTAGGTCGATCGTAGGTGTTCCTCAAGGAAACCCAGATCGACTTCGTCCGCCCCCTGTCCCCCGCCTTCTGTCCGAGCAGGGCTGTCGAGGATCAGGGCGGCCTTTAGCTTTTCTTCTCGAGTCCTTCCTTTCGACCCCTCGGGCGGGTCTTCTCTTGTCTTCAGCAGCTGGAGGATTTGCGATAGGCTATCTTGCATGCTTGCAATTTGTGCGCCTTGGCTTTTGACTACCTCCTCAAGCTCTAATTCATCTTCTACTCTTGGCGATAGACCTCGGAGGGTGTTGTTCTTGGTCATACCCTTGAGCGGGGTTTCAAAGTCGTCTCCCATCTTTTCCCGGTGACGAAGTAGTGGGCCCCACGGTGGGCGCCAAAATGTTTAAGCCTGGAAAGTACCGGGCGGTTTGTGAAGCTCACTGACTCCGTGCGGTCTTGGGAGGATGAGAGGCGACCTTCGAAGTCCTGCAACAAAGGTCCTCAGGGGAGCCCTGGGACCTCCTCCGATGCCTAAGTTAGTGAGAGAAGTAGGTAGAGTGAAATAGAGAGAGAATGGGGTAGATAGGAGTTACCATAAATGTGATCCGTTGTCGGGTATTTATACTAGTTAGGTCCAGGAGTGAGGACAAGCTTCGTTATGTCGGGCGATCTGACACTGTGTCGGGCGGTCCTCGACCGCCTCTGACTTCTCATAAATGCCGTGTCAGATCCGTACTCCACTCAGTATCCGTACCTTGTTGTCAGAGTGTTGACTATATCCTCTGTCGGGCGTCCTGCTTTGTTTCCGTTGTACGTTAGGCGGTCTTATTAGGTGCGACCCAGAGACCGCCTCCTATTTCTCTGATTTGGGCTTGTTTGCTTTACTGGGCCTTTTTAGTGGTCATGGGCTCAGAGGCCCAAGTGCCTTAATGATTGTCCTAACAGGAAATCTGTTTGATATTGTTATTCATTGACAAGATTCTTTGAACAGAATCTTTTCATGGTGGAGAAATGGTCAGGTTTCTTCCGTTCTTGTTTTGATTGTTCATTTGCTCCACACTTCCTCTCCCTTTTCTTTCAAACTGGTTGGTGCGCAGCCGGTGGTCGGATATCATTTGAATATAATGTATTTATAATGTGTATTTTTAAAGTTTTCAAAATATTTGAAATATGGATTTCTTCCTATTAGCTAAATTAATTGTTAAAATCAAATCAAAACAATCAAAATATGAAAAGAGAAATATCAAACACCTAAGAAGTACTTACGTGGGAGTTAGCGGGCTGGCTAAAAGTAGTAGAAAAGTCATGTGATTTTGAAATTTTATATTTGCGTATATTTTTAGCATGAAAAGATAAATTAAATCCGTCTAGTGTAATTAGTAATGATTCGTATCCTTGTTTAAAGACACCATGGTTCAAATTCCAATATTGACGTATTTTTTATGAATAAAAGAAATAAATAATTGTGATGAATAATCTACCCCTTGTACTTTTGGTATGAATTCGGTTCTCGTAACTACGAACATATATAACATAATTATAAACAAGGAAAATTTATCTGTCTACACGGAAATGGAAATGAAAAGCAAGAGATCCTTTTTCTCGAAATATGGACCAATGGAAGTTTAACTCCTAAAGAAGCACTTCATGAAGCTTCCCGGAATTTGATTGATTTATTTATTCCTTTTCTACATGCGGAAAAAGGGAGCTTACATTTAAAAAAAAATCAACATAGGATTACTTTACCCCTTTTTACTTTTCATACTAAATTGCCTAAACTAAGAAAAAATCAAAAAGAAATAGCATTAAAATCGATTTTTATTGACCAATCAGAATTGACTCCTAAGATCTATAATTGCCTCAAAAGATCTAATATACATACATTATCGGACCTTTTGAATAACAGTCAAGAAGACCTTATGAAAATTGAACATTTTTGTCTAGAAGATGTAAAACATATATTGGGCATTTTTGAAGTAGAAAAGCATTTCACAACGGATTTGCCAAAGAAAAAATTCTAAATCCAATACATTTATATTCATTTTCATCTTTTTAGAAACTCAAAATTAAGAAAGACATATGCATATACCAAAAGCTTATAAATAGAAGAATGATCACCACACCTTAATTTATTTTTGAAAAATATTGTAATAGACTATCTTATTAACGACTCTAGAGTCGAGCTGGTAATTGACTCTTTAGCAAATAAACAATTAGCTTTGCAATAATTCTTCACATGAACAATGAGCATTGCAATAGTTCGTTTACAAACTCAATTTTCCAACTCCCTGCTTATATATATTCACTGGTCCATTCTCCACGGCCATCATTCGAATCTGTCTTTATTTTTTAGTGCCATGATCAATGAATTAGTTGGCCAAAACATCCTTAGCCTAGATGACGAAGAATAAAAAAGAAGAATATTTTTAAAAATATTAGTTGGTCCGAGCATTCAATTCGCTCAGAAAAATAGTAAGGTTGCCTGAACTTAATCAAATTTCATCGAGTTTGACCGCTCGTGTGCTTTTAAATAACTAGTTTCCTAGAAGTCGATGTAGAAATCAAACAGACTAAACTTGGTTTGACTGATATGATCAACCCTTGAAAAATACAATAACTAGAAAGAGTCTTATAGATTGGCATGATAGTCATCGGTTAAAGTGCTATAACCCACCAGTTCCTATGCACTTTCTTAGTTACCAAGAGGAGTTGGATTATGCACTTTTAAATTTACCTAGTCTGTTTCCAGTATTGTATTGAAAGCATTAGAGTTGGTTTGGTTATCTCTAATATCTCAAAGTCTAATATAAAGTTGTCCCTAAATATGAACTCCTCGACATATACATACCACATAAGTGAAAAATCAGTAAGAAAGTTAGATATGTATACTAACAACCACTCCCCCGAAGGAATTCCCTTTCACCAAAGGACATATAAATGTATAGAAGACATGGTTGGTTGTGTCTTCTAATCATATACATCACATTGATCACCAAAATTACATTATGCTATATATACTAGAAGTAGTCCAACTCCCCAAGAATCTGAATGTGCCTATTATGCATGCAATCCCCCAAGCTTTTTTTGTGAGACCAAAACCCTCCTCAAAATGCATGGTGAATAATGTCATTTCTCCCTCTTACCTAATCCATGAGTCTCGTGTGGGAACTTTTTTCTTTTACATACATTATGGGTTTTTTTTACAAGAAAGGATTTGATGTTGCAAATCAATTGGAAGTGGTTACACCCAAAGCAGTCAAAATCGGGATTTTACCTAAAATCGAAAACTGCGATAAAATCGGAATCGTAAAATCGAATCGTAAAATCGTAGGATTTTAAGTTCCATATAAAAACTAACATATAATCATATTAATAAGGTAAACCATTACCAACACAAAGACACATAACATTGAAAATGACAATTCTCAAGATTAATGTTCCAAGATCATCATTTTAATTGTTATTTAATGCGTAACTAAAATGATTCACGAGGAAATGATAGAGCTCATGGAGCTTGGCTCTTGTTTTTCATGTTGTGTTTAGGTAGTTTAACTCAAAGTAGTACTCCGGTCAGATTAATTTCAAAATTGTCTGTTAATCATGATTTAAAACTAATAATATATGAACTCCAATTGAATAATTAATGCTGGTGGCTTTGCAAAAATGTATTCATTAATCAATTAATGAGTTAATAATGATATTAATTCTTCCGCACGTATAATATTAGGAAAGCTATTTTGCCTTTGAGTTCAACGGGACGAAGGGAAAGAGAATGACCGAACCATAATTTGGTTATTTTTTTCTTTTCAAATATTTTTTAATAGGAAAAATATTTGATAAGATCCTCATCATTGTCCTTTCTTCCAAATCAGTTCCGCTTTTTAAAAATTTGCTCAAACAGCCTATTTTGTTCTCATACGATTTTAATCCCGATTTTGGTAGGATTTTACGATTTTAACGATTTTAATCCCGATTTTAAAGGATTTTAAGGTCCACCGATTTTATAGTAAAATCAGGATCGGAATCCCTAAGTAAAATCCTAAAATCCTACGATTTTACGATCAAAATCCCGATTTTGACTGCTTTGGTTACACCAACGGTTACAGCAAGGGGGAAAGAACATCAAGAACAATAACCCAGTCAAAAGGGAGGCAATCTTTAGAACATGATCTAGCGACCCAATCAGCTTTGACATTGAGAGACCTCTTAAAATAAGAGACATTAATGAGCGGGTGACGAGAGAGAAGATCCCTCACGACACCTAACCAAGCAGAGATTCTCCAAGGCCAACGTGAGGGAGCCGCTTGAAGGGCTTTCGTAATGATCAAGCTATCTGTCCTGACAAGGCAGTGAGATCCAAGTTGACAGGCCAAAGAGATGCCTTCCACCATTTCTTTTGCTTCCGCTTCCAAAGGAGTAGCACATTGGAACTTCCCACCTTTTCCATTCGTAACTTGTCCATGGTTGTTGATGATGACAACACCAAAGGCTGCCTCCTGGGAATTGTTTATGAACTATCCATCATAGTGAATCTCATGTTTGAGATTACCTGGCGGTGGAGTAGGTTGAGGTAGAGAATCTGTGGGCTGAGGAGGAAAAGCTAGAACAGCTTTTCTTCTGGGACACGAAAACCACAGAGCAAGATCCGATAGCATTAGAGCATGTCGTAGGCGGCCACAAATTACTGCCACAAAAAAATTTCTCATTTCTGCTTTTCCAAACATGCCACACGAGGTACACCATCTGTTGGATCGAATACGCAGGGAGGCTGTGGCTCAGAGAAAAAAGCCAAACTAGAGGGTTAATCAGCGGCGGAGGGGTGGCTATAGAAGGGAAAACATTGGTCCAGAAATCAAGGGCATGCACACAAAAACAAATTGTAGTTGATTGACTCTACATGGTTCCCGCATATTGGGCAATCAACATTAGGCGAGCATCGTCTGCCAAACAGTCTTATCTTAGTCGCCAAAGAGCACCCTTAGCACATCTCCACAAAAGGATTTCAGTTTCGGAGGGAGGGAGAGATTCCACAACCACTTGCATTTTTATTTCTCTTCCGATGTCACCACGTTTCCTTCTTGTCCAACAGCTCTGGACTAATCATGATAGGCATGATAAGCAGACCTGACCGTGAAATCCCCATTGAGGGAGAATCTCCAAGCCCAAAAATCATCTTCCGCTGGAAGGCCAATAGGAAAGCTTGAGATAGCTTGACGATTTTGGGGACTCATAACCTGTTCAAGTAACAGCAGGTTCCATTGTCGAGAAGTCTGATCAATCCAGTCATCGACCATTGAGTCATCATTTTGAGTGTTGATAATCTGGTTGACTTTCCACTTATGATGACCCTGGTGATGCCCTGCTCGAGATGCTTTCTTGAATCCCAGAGGCTAGCCCAGATCCAGGATGGTCTGCTTCCTTTCCTAGCATAAATAAAATTGGTGCGAGGGAAGTAAAGACTTTTCAAGAGCCTTGCCCAAAGAGTTGGGTTAAACTTTGCACAAAAGTCCATAAAGCTAAAAGGACTATTGCACCATAGCACTTCCCATGCAGCAATCCATCCATCAATGAGCGTTTTGACCGTCATATCATTGATGGTGTTGGTCAAACCAAGTTTATTCTATTTGATGGTGTTGGTGTTGGTCAAACCAAGTTAGTATTAGGATATTTTGTACTAAAGTCGTACCGAAAAAGTTAGCATGAGAGTATTTTGTGCTAAAATCGTAGTTCACCTATGGTTAAAATCAAGTTGACACGTTCAACCCGAACCTCGATTTATGTTTAGAAAAAAAAACCAAAAATTGAAAAATCATACCAAAGGTCGTACCGGAAAAATTAGAATTATGATATTTTGTGCTAAAATCGTGGTTAAATATGAGATGACATATTGCTCCAACCTAAGCCTCGATGTATGTTCGGATTTTTATTTTTATTTTGTAAAATCTTACCGAACGTCGTACTGGAAAAGTTAGCATTAGGACATTTGTGCTAAAATCGTAGTTCAATCGTGATTAAATCATACAACTAAATCCCCTACCGATTTAAATTCCGTTGGGAGTTTTTTTATATGATTGTTGCTAAACATAATTACAAATGAAATACGGGTTATCGAACAATACATCTAATCCTGTAAGAAGCCGCAACGAAGTGCGGTAGATAATCTACTTAGTATTTCATTTAAAGATGCCCCCAACTTTGTAAATGCTTTTGAACTAGTCGATGTTGGGATGAATAGCCTTAAAAAGCTATAAATGAAATTCCTAATTAACTATCCAGTATTTTCCCCATAATACGAAAAATAAGATGGATAATTAATAAAAGGAATATTATGGAGATAATTAGAAATAATTATCTTAATAGATTATATTTTAATTATGGAGTAATTATCTCCCTAATTAAAATATGACTTATTCCCAAAGAAAGAGGGAATATTCTGAGTTTTCTGCTCCTATAAATAGGAGACGCCCCAGACCCTCTAAACACACCTCAGAAGAGCAGAAACACTAGAGAGAGTGAATTTATAGAGCTCCGGTTTTTCGCACAAAACCGATTAGCAACAAATCAGAATGACTGGTTTTTCCTGGAGGCGACCAGCTCATAGTCTGTTGTGCGCAATACGAGGCAGTGCCGCGAACGTCTTAAAGAGAGCGACCTAGTCCGCGACTCAGCCAGATTCGGTAACCTAATTTTTCCTGTTCGATTTCTAACAATTTTAAGACGTTGTGTTACTGTCAAATCGACCGAACAGATTATTGTATCTGGCTTTGCAAATCTCAATCACGGAACCGATATCGAGACTCACACAGCGGTGACTAGACAATGGCGATTGGAAGAGAAAGGAAGGGAGTAATTTCGTGCCCTTCTCAATTCCGCGAGAGTTTTTGTGCCCTCAAATTGTCCAGTTGATTGTTCTTATACAAATTGCAATTGACTGCTTTTGTTCATAAGTAAAACAGATCGAGATGGAGAGGGTCCTTGCAGTGGTATCCGTCAGTTTCCCGCCGACGGTCAGCGTTGTACA